GCCTCGTTAAAAATCGCTGCGTAAAGACAGATTAATTGCTGTGGGGTTCCCCTCCCCCTCCCCCCTAAAATGCAAACTAAAAGCCCCTCCCCTGCCCCCCACCCCCACCCCGGAGGGCCATTCTGGTTCCGTGTACAACTCTGTGCTACCTCGACACTCCGCCCCTAATAAGGGAGGTGGGTGAGTTTCTGGGGAGTTCCCCCTACCCCAAATCTGTCCAAGGGGGCAGACGGGCCCTTGAAAGAGGCCAGAGTGGGAGGGGTCTGAGATGAGAAGGGGGACTTAGATGAGGAAGGCGCGCCTGAAAAATGGAAGACTTCAAGGCTTGGGGGTATGAGGACCCCCGCTACTGCCCCTCCCTCCCCCGACAGGGCCTCGAGGGGGAAGAGGCGGGCACAGATGAGGAAATGGCATAGGTAGGACTCCTCGGCCCTAGGGTCTCCATCTTTGTTAGGTGTGGGGTCTGGGTGAACCTAAGGGTGGGATGACTGGGTGGAGGAAAAAGAAGGGGGAAGAGGAAGAGAAAGAAGCCAAGAATAGCTGAGAAGGCAAGAAATCCTTTCGACAGACAGCGAATACCTAAAAGGCAGGTGACCAAGGAGAGGCCAAAGAACTCAGCAAGTGAGAATGCAAAGTAGAAAGAATGGGTTTTCCAGAGGAGGGGAAGGAAAGACAAAAAAGTGGGGGAGACCTCACAGACGCTGTGAGGTGGGGCAAGAAGACCCTCCCTCACAGCACTGAGGGGGTGGTGTGGATGGAAGGGGAAGCCTGTGGGCAGAGTGGACAAGAGGATCCTGGACATTCCAGGGAGAAGGGGCTGGCAGAACCTGCTCTCCCCCACAGTAAACCTGCATTGAGGAAGGAGGTAGGGATACTCAGGAGGTTGGGGTAAAAAACAACAACTGTTGACCAGCTGATTCCAACACAAGACTGCAAAGCTTCAGGAAAACCCACTCTTTCCCCCTAGAAGCTGCTGGTGGGTTTGGACCGCGCCTTTCCGTTAGCAGTCGACCACCTGTGTCACCAGGGTTCCCTCTAAGCAAGTCAAATTTGATCAAAGGAGAAAAGGGCTGGGTCTAAGGAAAAAGGGAGGGGTCTAAAAAGGTGATTCTAAGGAAAAAGGGTTAGGTCTAAGGGAAGGGGCGGGTCCTAAAGTTAACGGAGCCAACAGACTAAGAGGAGGAGTCCAATGGAAACGGGAGGAACCAATAAAAAGTAGAGATCAGAATATAAGGCGGGGTTATTGGAAAGGGGAGGGGCTCGGTGATGGGTGGGGTTAGGGCCATGGGAGGAGTCACCCGGGAGGCGGGGCTCAAAGCTTGCGCTGTATCTATCCTCCCGGTGGAGGTAGGGGTCCCGTGAGGGTAGGGACGCCCCTCGTCGGGGCCTCAACAGGGCGAGGTGGAGATGTGCAGGTGGTCTGGGTACTTGATGGCAGGGGGGTAGTTCTGGGTCATCTGGATGGAGACGTCGCTGGAGATATCTGAGGGACTGCGGCCGCGGCGCCAGGCCTCAGGCTGCAGGAACTGGCCCGAGTAGTCGGAGCAGTCGCTGAGACGTGGGCGGTAGAAGGCCGGATGCGGGCGGTACATCTCCTCCTCCGCATAGCGCTTGGTGAACAGGTACACGGACATCACGCCGGCCCCCTGTGCAAGACACGGTCAGAGACACAGAGGCCAACTCAGCCCTTTCCCCAGACCACCCTTTCTATCCTCAGACCCAGGAGTCCTGACCCCCAGCCCCTCCTCCCTCAGACCCAGGAGTCCTGACCCCCAGCCCCTCCTCCCTCAGACCCAGGAGT